AGACAGACACCCCCGTTCCCTTCCCTGAAGTTCTCAAAAGAGAACTCATTTGCTACCACTTTGATTTCCTCAAAGAAAAACTGTTCTCAGCAATGAGACAGTAAGTGCATTTAAAAACACACAAAAACAAAAATACAAAACTAATATAATATAAAATCCCTAAACACTTTCAAGTTATATTTTATTTTTTTTTGGGTTGGGTAGTTTAATTATAGAATAGCATTCTAAAATAGGTATGCATAGCCTCATTAGTGTGAGGCATTTACTTTAGTGACAGTCAAAGATAAAACTTTTCCGAGTCAAAAGCCGTTGACATCAAGTTTAAAGAAGACATCTTACTTTCTTTTTTCTTTCCTACTTAGATTTAAAAATGGAATATCATTCCAAAATAGATTTACTTAGTCTTAGTGATGTGACATGCCTACTTCATTAGTTCTCATGACACAACTTTATCGAAGTTCAGCCACGATTTCAACTGGTTTAAACATGAACGCCTTCCTCATCCGACAAAATAATTTGAGGATCAGTTCTGTTTTCTCACATTAGTTTTAAGTTTCTTTCTTTAGTTTTTTAAGATAGTTTCGTTATAGTTACTCGCTGACAATGAAACATAAATCCTTTGACAAGTATTCTCAAAAAATTTCCAGCTATCTTTTAAAAAATCTGATTCAACAGAAATAAAAGGATGACTGAAATAACAAAGACACAATGTGGAATGCTTTGAACAAATTTAGTGAGAAAATCACAAGTGTAGAAAATACAGAAAATTAGGATTAATAAGAAAAAAAATACAAAATAGGCATTTACAAAGGATCTTCGTCTCTCTTCTTACTGGTGCCTTCCATCTTCGCCCTCTTGGCCCTCTTGGCATTTAAAATCTGCCTCATGTCAATATTGTCCTGAAGAAAAAAATAAATTATTAAGGGGTAATCTTTTTTTAAAAAATACACACTGTTATTTTGTTTTTACTTACAATCATCTCCACCATGTGTGGTTGGGGGGGTGGAAGATGAAACACAGGACTTGGGACAACCCCCATGGGGTGCCGCTGGGTCGACTCGACGAAACTTGGTCCAGACACGCTAGCAAGGGGGCGCTTGGCCGCGGGGGTTGGTGGGGCTTGCACCCTGGTTTTACGTCTTCGAAAGACTTCCATTCTGCGAATAGAACCAAAATTTAGTGAAATGCGTAGGGGAGGAGAGGGGGGGGGGGATGGAGGGGATTTTACTTACGGTATTGTTGATGACGCCTCTTCAACTTCGGCCGCTTCCTGTTGCGCCGCAGCCAAGACTTCCAGGGGTGCGAATGCTTCAGGTACCTCGTTCACCTCGACTTGCTGATGCACCGATGGCTCGATCGATGGCGCCTCATCAACATCCTCCAATATTGGCATGTCTGGCACAGCAATGGCACTCGTCGAGGGCATATCGTCACACAAATTGTCGCATGGCTCAACTTCAAACTGCAATAAGAAAAGTAGGGTGAAAAACTTGGGGGAGGGAGAGTGCAGGGAGGGGGGGGGGGGCGCGTTGTTCCGCTTTGTCTTCCGCATCGTTGCACATCAGAATGCACTCGGTTGGTTTGTGCGTGCGCCCATCTACGATAATCCAATATCTGTACTCAGGCACTATCAACTCCTGAAGAGGCCGGGGGAGAGGGGGGGGGGGGACTTACCCCATCGCAAGCTTCAGTGCCGAAGGACGCTTGATGCTGCAATGGTCCATCATTGCGAGGTGGGGCGTTGCACTCGTTGAGTGGTTCCTCAAAACTGGTCGACTGTAAAAGTTTGGCAAAAAAACAAATTAATCACAAATGAACAAAAGTCGCGCTTGCCTACCCATCGCCCCTTGAGCTGAAGCCCCGTGCGCCCCATGCGGCTGACTTGACTGCCACCAAAGTTACGAACAGCTGACCCCTCCCCCTAGGCTCCTGAGGGGGTGGAGCTGGCGGCATGACGGCTGCTTCCCAGACCTGGACCAGGGGCTGACGGCCTAGCGTCGCGCGATAGTTTTACTGTGTCCCTGCGTGCGCGCACACACACACGCACACACACGCACACACACACATACACGCACACACACACGCGCGCGCGCGCCACAAATTTACACTCGCCCCCTGTTGACGGACGGTCCCCCGGCGTAGCAACAGCACAGCGCGCGGCAAACAGCCTTCCCCCTCCACCCGTCCCCTTCGCCTGTCTGAGCCAGCGCCTGGCGACGCCTGGCGACGAACCCCTTCCTCCTCTCCCCGCGCCCTCGGCCCTACCCGCGTCTCACGGTGCGGCCGCCGCGCGGCCGCCGCGTCAGACAAGATTCAACACGTTTTAACCTCAAAAGCATGCAAGCGTGATATTTACAGCTGCAACAAGGCAAATCATGCCGAGTGCACTTTAAAAAAACAGGGAAGGACACAGCGATTTCTCGCTTAAGCACACATTGGACTCACCCTTTAAAATACAAACCGGCTGCATTGGGCAGCAAAATGTCGCGAGTCGTGCCGCATTGGGCGGCTACGCGGTTGATGATCGACTGAAATAAAACAGCTCTATGTCGTTTCGTGTTCTTTTCGCGGAGAGAGATCTTAGAGAGAGCCACACGGTAACACATTACCGCGGCTTACATCGCATTTCGAACATTGTTTCGACATAGAACTGTTTTAGAGGACATTGGTTTTTTTATTCAAAGTCATTCGCAAAACAGTGTCCTCACAAGCATTTGAGGTACTTACGTCCATGGCGTCCAGCTCACGCACAAGAGAGCTATGATCAAGTCTTAGAGTGTCCCCGCTGCTGCTGGCCGCTGGGGAGCTCGATGCACTGCAGGTAGAGCATGAACTTGACGACGCACTGCAAGTGGAGCACGAGCTCGACGAGGAACTGCTGCTGCTGTCTGAAGAGCTCGACGAGGTGGTGCTGTTGTCACTGACGTATCCCTTGATGAGGTCCATGATGGCGCGTCCACACTCGAGAGAGCTCAGGCCAACAATGCCGCTGCGCGCCGGCTGTCTCGCCCGCCAGCCGAGCCGCGCTCCCCTCCAACCCCCGCGCTCCCCGCGAGAACCCTTCCCCTTCCCCGCCTCACCCCCGCGACTGCCCCCGACTGCCCGCCGCGCAGCGGGCCGACTGCCGGGCGGAGCCCTGTTGCCGGCTGGCTTTGGTCGGGGGGACCGCGCTCCCCTCCCTCCTCGCCGTGCACACAGCCAAGGCATGGCTACGATCCCTCCACCGCCAGGGCCTTCATGTGCGGGACCAGGGTGAAGACCACGAGGTGCTCACCCTGGGTCTAGAGCCTCTGGCCGCACTCCCTGTACGCCGTGAGCGAGCTGAGCCGAGTCGAGCCGAGCCGAGCGGACGCTACGCGGACGAGGGCCACTGACAGGTAGGCAACCCAGCCAGCAGCCGTGCGGGCGGGTTGCGGCGCGGCAGGCGCTCGGCGCGGCAGGCGCGCGGATGTCCAACACACGTTGAGACACGTTCAATATTATTATTTCCGACACCTGCCGATATGTGGCGCCTCGAGCGGCGGGACGCACGTATACAAGAAGGGCTCTCGCGCCCATCAGTCATTCCTTCGGTTCGTCTTCTGGTGTGCACATCATGGCTTGCCCTTCTTGCTCATTCTCTGTGCCCCGCCCTCGGTTTCATCCGATCGACTTCGCCATGTCGTATGCTTTCTGCGACATGCAAATGCTGAGGGGATCAGATGATCAGTACATCATCAAGGAGTTCAGCAAATATGACCCTTTCTTTGATTTAAGCTACACAGAAATATTTGCTTCACCCTACCCAGCCTCTCTTCT